ATTTTAAGTCTTAGAGTGTCTTATCGAAATTTATAGGTGTCGGCGTATTGACATCAATAGTTATTCATCATTATCACCAACAGCCCTAAACAGTCTACTGCTAGACATAGGACTCTTCTTAGAAAGGAGGTTCTGGCCTACTATACCACCCTGGCCAGACGAGTTGCTGCCCTCTTACGCCACCCACGGGATGAATAGAGGTAGTAACGCTTCGTTTTCTTAATCCGTCACCACACGGACAAAATGTTTATTACATACGAGTATTCATTCACATATATGTTACTATTGTACTAAAATATTGAATTCTTGGCGGGTTAGCGAACAAGAAAACGTATAAGCACTTGTCAAGGTAATTATGAAAAACTTTACTTTAACGACTTTTAAACATAAGTGAATTTTTGTCTTGTTGCTGCTATAATAAGTACCTACTAAGAAACTAAAATCCGTGCTAGAGTCCGTGCAATAACGCTCAAAGTTCGGCTTCTAAAACTGCATATATATGCATTCTCTTCCAAAAGTTCTTTCTTTGATTTCACGAAACAATATAAGATACTATAGCTATAACCTTATCTGCTTTAAAATATTTTGAAATTTCACCCGTTCGGTTATATCTGAAGGATTCTTACAGCTTAAATTACTTTAGGAGCTTCAATAGTCAAGTTATATATTTCAATATATCTAACATGTCCCATTTCATCATGCATGATGTAATAATAAAATAAAAAGGTTAACTAGGAATATTTATTATTTTATTTTTGTAAATAGTTTCAGTTTAGGGCGATTACATCAACGCCTGTTTTAATTCTGTGAAACTATTAGAGGTAGTAAAATAAATTTATCAAATCTTTATTTATTTATTTTTTATTTATTCTTTATTGTACACACTAAACACATACATATATATATATAGGTAACAAGTAAATGTCCGTGCGAGCTTAACCCAAAACTGAGTTTTCTTCCAGCAAGCCTTGAGCGAATAGAGGACAACAGAGAAACGTAAGGGCACAGTCATGCGTACTTAGGAATCAACACAGAAAAGCATAAAAATGAAACACATACCGACATTAATTAGGATAGTAAAATATATTATACGTATAAATACATATATATATATATATACATATATACATACATACATACATCCATACATACCAAGGGTCTGATTAATGGTCTTTGTGATGTTCTTCCTAAGAATTTCTAATTTAATTATAGCAATTAAAAGATTTACACCATTTAAATTAAATTATAATAAAACAACCCACATACCCAATCAATATATATTCTTATCAATTATTATTGATGTGTTTTTATAGAAGTCAGGAGTCAAGGAACCAATTTTTAACTAACAAACTTGCAAGTCTACGAGTAGTAACCAGTTGTAGCAAGCCCAATCAAGAATATACTCATCAAAGTCGATGCTAAAATTCTAAGCACTAGATTTACGCAGTCGTAACTAACTTTACAAGTTTTAAATTACATGGTTAATTTTACGTAAAAGCGGCAGGTTTTATCTTTAAAGAAATTTAATCGACAATAAATACAGACCATCAAAGCAATACGGGGATTTCTTAAACAGCGTGAAAGATAAAAGCAGTGCTACACAATGTTTTAGCTGGATGAAATGTACGCAGCCTTGGATGATGTAACTTGTGTATGTAGACGTGTGTTATGCGTGCACGCATTCATCAATAAACCTATGCGATAATATAAATTTCCTCTGCTACCTTTAAATTTACGATACAATTGTAAGTATAGCAAAGAGTTTAAAGAAAATATTTAACATTACAACCTCAAAATGTACAGACTGATTGAACACGTTTGGCGACAAATATATACTATTTATTCTAATTGCTCTGTTTATTTTTGTGCGTATATGAGATGTTTTCACTGTTTTCTTTGTCTCAAATTTTATAAATAACTACCAAAGAACTACTTTTAACAGTTGCTGTAAAGCAACGCTTTTTTACATTAATTATAATCTTTTATAAATAGATGTTTGAAATTATTTTCTACTTTTAAGTAAGTTTTAAAGCACCATTATTTTGTTAGTGTTGTACATATTGTCATTAAACCTTGACAAGTGCGCAATGTTTCAAGTTAATTAATCCATCGTCTAGAAGTTAGTGTAAACTCTACCTTAAAAGACTTCGTTACCCCGACACAAGTCAGTATAAGGAGTGTAAAACTATGTTATAGGTACTCACATATGTCGATACATACAATACATATATCGATCCCGCGAACGGTAAATATTTTATTCGTTGTTACTCGTACCCGTAAAACCGTATTAAATTTGATTGTTATCTATTGTGGATTATATGAAGTAAATGACATACAAATTAATGTCTGGAAGGGCAATATCTTATTTAAATTAATAATTTGTTAAACTTTAAATGGGCAAAAACCGACCCATTTGTTTCCGCTGAGTTAAGTACATATCGTCAGGTAGTAGGTAGCTGTTTAAGGGGCCTCCATAAACTAGCTGCTAGACTAGTCTAGATATTACTCGCACTGTGAATACACAATTAGAATTACCACTAGGTTACAATTAATTTTCTGTTTATCGTAAGATTGAAATAAAAACCGTTTAAAAGAACGTTAAATATTTGATCAATCATAATAATAACTACTTAATATACTAATAATACTAAGTACTAATTTTGTAGTAAAATACAAAAAAAACTGTCCGTTTAGGCAGTCAGATAGTTTTTTTTTGAAAATTTTTCTTTGAAACCGGCAGCGACCAATACGTGAGAACATCTCACAAAATCGAAATTCGTAAAAAACTTTTCATAACATGTAACTAATATATAAAATAGACTATTGTTTAAAAATTAAATAATTGATTTTATAAGTATAATATTTTGTTTTATCATGAACAATGAATAAAGCGGAATAGAATAGATTAGACGTATTTGTCTTTAAGTTCACGTGGTGATGTTACTATTGTTTTGTATTAATTTTCTCTTGTGATAAGGATCACTTCAGCTCCAAGGGTGGGGGATAAGATTGGCTATGCACAACTGACACATCTGTGGTTGCAAGTGTTTTCCCTTAATTACTGACTTAGGTAAAATGTATTAAAAACAACCTACACTTCCGAAATCGAATTCGAAGAAATACTGTCAAGTAGTGAATCATTGACACTTTCTTTTAATAATTTATACATTAGAATAATAATGCATGCATATGAAATTGTCATTTTTCCGGAATTCATACATGAAGTAATTGATATGCCAATAACGTACAGTAAAACATCGCAGTATATGTAGAAAATGGAGGATGAAATATGTAACCTATATATATATATATGATGTGCAAAAAGCATTTTAATAATTTTCATATTGTACACACATATGTACACATGGCCTCATGAAAAACCAACCTGTTTTAAGCACGGAAACTTCTCGGCAACTTTACCAACATAATAGCCACACTTAAACACAGATGTCTAAGAATGTTTGTGCATGTGCATTACACAGATCCGATCTGCTAATTGAGGGTAATTCTACTATGAGAGACTTCGGGCCTGGACTCACACACAAATAACGAACTGCGGAAGACGACCTTCCATTGAACGTTTTGTCCAAGTTGCGTTTCAAAGAAGGCAGGAAGGAGTGGCATAGTTTTTCATGAGGGCCAAGTGGATTGCAACAAAACGTGATTTAAGCTTTAAATGAAGAAAGCCTAAAGCGTCAAGAGAGATGCCAACCTTGTAGTAAGGGAACATAAAAGGGACAAAGAAAAAACATTAAATGTGTTGTCTAAGAATTGCATCTGTTAACTCTTATTTGCAACTTGCGAGACTAGTTTTCATATTTTATTCCATGGGATTTCATTGATAATTATTTTTATATTTTAAATGCCAGGAGACCAGACCTATGTTATATATTTATATTACAAATGCTAAGGAACTGAAGTAGTCATAATATAATGTTGTATATTCGACTTTAATTTTAGAATGTATTTTACAATTTTAAATAAAAAGTTAACGAGACATCCTAATCGTCTTCAGTGAGCTAAAAATACATTCTGTGTTCAAACTATGATTAAAAACCTTGTAAATTATGCGCCTAACTAGACGCTCCTTTGTTAGATTATTTAAATTTAAATTTAGAATGTTTTTTAAAGCCGTATTTAAAGTAGTTAACTATTTATAATCACTTATTTAATTATACAAAAGATTCAAATCCTATTTACATGCAACGCAATTTTAAGGGTATAAATAAAGCTAACATGCTGTTAATTCACAACACCAATGTAATAATTATTACTGGTACTACTATACACATAATCTTTATTATATATAATCTATTATATTTAGATTTACCTTGCATTAAAAATGCTAAATTTTTGTTGTTAGATTTGATTATAACCGGTTAACGCTGATTTCCTAATAACATCTACAATGGGTATACCTTATATACGAAGCTTCCTACTAAATATTAAATGAATCTTATAATATCTATACTAAATAACATTATTGAGGCTACATACGCAGGCTTCCGGCATGCATTCCACCTTTGCATTAAACATAAATAATAATGGGAGCGGACTGAACGATTCCATAGTGTTGAGTAAGAAGACTACATATGGATTATATGTGTATATCTAAGTTTGAAATAGTTTTTACACATCCTGGTCTATTAAATAATGTGCAGTATTATGAATTGGTTTGGAACTAAATACACAAAGGCGGGAAAACGAATTGTACTCGACTACGAAAAAGAGTGAGGACTTAGGAGTATGCATTTTGCACCTTAATGTTTTTTCATAGGTTAGTTCGGTTTTTCATTAAAAAAATAGTTATTCTTTTTAAACTTGATTCAATGAACTTCAAATTTCGTAAACTATTGCAGTCACTGGCGACTTCCCTCTCACACGTTTCTGACCTACCTATACTGTTATGTCGTGTAGTGTGCGCGTACAGCTGAAGTGCCGGGGTGCGCTAGGGCGCGCTGGATCGTCGGCGGGCGGCGCACTAACACTCACATTCAAATATGCGTCTAACCTTGATGCGAATCGGCGCACTCCGGGTTCCATCCGACGACTGTCGTCCAAACAGACGGGCTGAAGGGCTCGCTTCAGGTGTAACAGTGAAAGCGACACTGGTTGTAAGGTTTATGCGCGTATCGTGTATAAACGTAACGCGGCGCGGGCGTCGGCGTCGTGCCGGACGGCAGGCGCATCGGCGCGCCGCCACCGGCGGTGAGGTCGCGGGGCTGCGGCGCGGTGGCCGCGCTACATGTCACTGTGCGGCGAGCGCGCTCTTCGCGCCGTGGTCACCGACTCTCAGTGGCGTCGCCGTCCTACTGTCTGCCCGACGGCCGGGACGGCGGCGCGCGTTGCACCGCCCCGCTGCACCGCCTGCCCCCCAGGCGCTATGCCCCCCTCGCTCGACCCCCCTCCTCCCGTCGTGCTACACCCGCCCCGCCCCGAAGAATTTTCCGCATCGGGCGGGAAAAATCGATTGTGCAGCGAGCCCCGAATAATTTCGGCAAGACGCACGGCGCCCTTGCGTCCTCTCCGATGACAGTCGCTGCCGTGATCCGGTATCCGCGACGGTCAAGCGCACCGCCTTTCACTCTACGACGACGCTAACACACCTAAACTCGTAGCTCGGGCATATTATTGCGTTACTATCACTTTAACCTATGCATTTTTTTATCGATTGATCTTATAAAATAATTTGATATAGTCAAGGTGAGATAAACACCACTCGCTAAATGATATCAGACTATCCAAAAGATTATTATGTAAAATAAATACAAAGATAACCTATCTCTAGTTGGTGCATTAAATGCACCAATTAGAGATATGTCATAATTATTTATAATCAGGTTTTTTATTATAAATACTTATTACTGTTGTATATTTTACTCTTTTTATATTATTTCAAACTCTCCATCAAATACCATGAAGAGTTAATTGGTTTAATCCAACCATAATACATTTCTTTGTATTTTTTATAAAGAAATTAACCTTTTTTTTATGTTAGAGGGGCAGACGAGCAGACAGGTCCCCTGATGGAAAGTGACTATCGCCGCCCATGAACGTCTGCAACTCAGAAGTCATAAACGCGTTGCCGGCCTTAAGGAAAGAGTACGCTCTTTTCTTGAAGGTTTGAAGGTTGTATCGGTCCGGAAAAACGCAGACGGTAACATGTTGCACAGTTTGGTTATGCATAAGGCGTTTTTACCAGATATGTGTAAGCTAACTGCGCTGGTTACAATAGACCAAAAGTTGTTTCCTTTGCCTAGCCTCAGCCTCAGCCTTATGTGAATAAAAATGATCTAAAGCCGCATCATCATCAACATTAGCCTATGGCAGTCCACTGCTAGACATAGGCCTCTAGACAAAATAAAAAAATAATAAACAACCAGTCTTCATTCAAAGCATACGAATTGTACGATGAAAACAATACTTCGAAAAAATATTAAATGATTGCGATCAATTATGACATTAAATTAATTTTCTCCGGTCGCATAGATTCGCAGAAACCAGGCTTATAACTATATGCTCAAAACTACTACATAAAAACTGACGATTCTATGGATTAATTCAAAAGTTTGGTCATGAGTAGTTCTGAAGTTATGTAAGATTAAAATAAACACGAGTTTAGTTTTAGGTGTCAATTATTATTTAAAGGTCTCCTTAAAGCTTTCGTCTTTTTTTTAAACAATGCAGTTATTGATAGAATAAAACTTGTACAGTTCATAATTCTGTTTCAATGGATCTCTTTACTATATTTCACATTAATGTAATACGATAATTATAATCAGTCCTGTCAAGAAAATGCCCAACTCTTAACCTGTGTTTAACAGTTCAATAGTAGCACACATAAAGAAAAAGAAAACTCTCTACTACTAGTGGTAACTGTTCCCCTTCCGCCGCTCTTTTGGCAAACATCACATCTACATGGGTCACATCAATATCTTTGGTAAAATCCTGATGTCGAGGAAAGGACCTCCTGCCCTGACATTTGTCGCGAAGACGAGACGCCGCTGCGACTAAGTTGAACACTCTTTGAGATAGTAGAGTGCATGCGTAAAATCTTGGGTGTGAAGTACACCCAAAATTTACGCATGCACTCCGAGCCTTTTTTTGGGCGACCCCAACCTAGTTTAGGAAAAAATGCTTTAAGTCGACTACGATATGGCTGAACTTCAATTTTTTACGTGGATCGATTGCCATCAAACCTAAACAACTCAAGTACTAGGAGCGATACCTAAGTTCTGTAAAAATACCGTTGCCGAACATCATAGGGTTCCAACTACCCGTAAATAAATAAATAAATAAATAAATAAATTTTATTCTGTAAGAAAACCCAGCATACAACTTAATATAAATTAGTAACTTAATACAACTTACAATAATATTACATTTTTAAAAGTTTTTTTGCGTGCAACACTATACTACTCCTTTCTAAGGAGAGGCTTATGTCCAGCAGTGGACTATTAAAGGCTGTTGATGATGACTATACTACTACTACGCTATTACCAAAGGTGTTCGTATGGCTAGACCTAGAAAAGCACCATGTCATCTCTACTAAGTCGGGTTAGAGCAGTACTCAAAAACAAAACAAGCAATTAATTTTTAGTGTTTAGGTTGAACATTTCAGTATTGAGAAAATAATAAAGTGGTAATTTCTTTAAAATTAAAAACTACTTACGCTTTCACGTTATCTAACCTTGATGAATTTTAGTATGAAGAAAAATTGGTAATTTGAAAAATAGCTGACACACCTATTTAGAGATACAGAAAATTTGCATACATCAAAAAGAAGTATTGCCGAAAGGAAGTATATAGACACAAACACAAGTTTTTTTTTACATATACTTCAAAGCAATAATATGAATAATAATTATTCATATGTTTAATGTTACTACTAAATTGAAAACGATCAAAAGTTAATATTTTAAATTTGGCCAACTTAAAATTAAATTTCCGAATATTATTAATAACATTTCAAATATGAGTCCACCAACTAATATATTTCTGGAATGTCACCCCGTCCTTTACTTATCTATATTATCATGAATTCTTTACATGCCTTTCATTAACCTTACGATCTTTTTATTTTTTGTAAAAAAAGGCCGGCTTGTGACTCCTGAATTCATGCGGCAGTCGCTTTACATCAGGTGACCCTCTTAACATTTTAAATAAAGATTATCTAATGAAAAAAAAAATCATTTGAATGTAAAAGGTTGGATGCTTTTAAAAATTATTACAAATACGAGTAGTTCATTGGTACATAGTTAATAGTTCATCGGTATTATTCATAGGCGACGGTAGTAGCTTTCCATCGGGTGACCCGTCTGCTCGTTTGCCCCCTCTTCCATAAAAAAAAATTGTTAAATGTTAATGTAGTTAAAAATTTAGACAATACACTTGTATTTTTTATTATTTACTAGTCGTTCCTCGGTTTCACTTTCGTCCATAGTAACTGGTCGGCTCCGGAACAAAACATAATAAATCACTGAAAGTTTATAAACCATATTTTACTGTTATTTAAAGTCTTTTTACTTAAAGGTAGTATACTTATATATTTATTTAGTAAGTATATTGTTTTTCTTTTTTTTTTTTTTTTCTTTAAAAAAGACAACTCCCGCACTATGAGTAAATCCTGTGTCGCGGGGGACTTTACAAACATACATGAAACGGACACAAAGTACACCCAAACTCAGAACAACAATTTGTAGATCACACAAAGTGTTATTCCATGTGGGGTTTGAACCCACAACACACGGCGTAATAGAAAGCGGCGTGGCGACCGCTTTAACCACTACGCCATCCGTGCAGTATTTCTGAAATGCCTATATAAATATATATTGTAATATATATATAAATCAAATTAAAGTCTCATACCACGTCCATATTGTTGACAACAATACATCCAAGTTCGATTTGATAGGAATTCTCCAAAGATTGCTGCAAGTTAGACATTACCAAAAATGTTCTACATGGTCCGTTGTTATTAGTCTCGTTCATTCTACCATGTTTTCATTCACTGATTAAACTTACTTTAATTTATAATTTAAGTTTAAATAAATAAACCTCCTTTCTAAGGAGAGGCCTATGTCCAGCAGTGGACTAGTATAGGCTGTTGATGATGATGATGATGAAATAAAGTAAAAAATAGCACACAAACAGTTAGGTTCAAAACAGAAATGACTGCACGGATGGCGTAGTTGTTTAAGCGGTCGCCACGCCGCTTCCCACTGCGCTCAGTGGTGTAGGTTCGATCCCCAAATGGGACACCACTTTGTGTGATCTACAAATTGTTGTTCTGAGTCTGGGTGATCTTTGTGTCCGTTTCATGTATGTTTGTAAAGTCCCACGCGACACAGGATATATATTCCTAATGCGGGAGTTATCTTTTTAAAAATGAGAATGAGAAATAGATTCGTTAAATAAGTAGATTCGAAGTTCTTAATTACTCAAACCGTCTATGAAATCAGGATCATCTAGCGGAACAGCAGGATATGGGATCACTGCAAGTGTAAACTTATGGCAACTTTTGGCCGTGAAATTCTAGTTATACATATGTCGCTTTGTTGATAATAACGTAACGTTCACACTTGTGTATTTCATCAGTTTATTTGTTGTTTTGTCTTAAAAAAAAAATTCAAAAAGTTTAAAGTACGTAGTAAAAAGTTACGCTTTTTAACACAATGGCGGGACTAAAGTGAATGTCACTTCTGTACTATAATAGTTTTAAGTTGAATCCGATCCGACTGATCTTTGTAATACACAAACTAGCCCTCCCCCTCTGCAGAGGAGGCATTAAACTACACCTCTTACGAAAAACAACGTTTATTTTAGTATTTTATGGTTTGACTTCAGTTTTAGTTTTTTGGATATAAAATCTTAATTGTTACTAGATGATGAAATATACCTATACGTAAAGCTATGGCGAGTTTTCCTCACATATTTTGCGCAGTAAAAATAGTATACAAAACGCTAAAAGCACGGGCATAAAGACTAAACCACAATTTTTATATGTATATAGTTCTTACAATTGCTACAATGTTGCTTTTCTGCCCTTACCTAGAAATGATATGTACGTTTTGCGCTTAAATAGTATATTAGGTATATTATTTTGCATCATAACCATTCACATCAAAAATTTAACATAGAAATAAATTTAAGGCAAGCATATTTAGAATTCTGAGAATATTACAACAGTTGTGTGGTGTTTTGTTTCTGGTTCATAGGTAATGAGGTGTTTAGTAGTGCAAAATTATAATTGTGCTAATTATAGAAAAAGTCGTATCTATGTATCTATCGATAGTTAAAGTGTTAAATAATGGTAATAATAGTTAAAGTTAAATTTGTGTAATTTAGTAAGGTATTGAAGTTTTAAAGTATTTACTAGAAGCTAAATACTAAGAAAAGTCGAAATGGAAATTTGTTTTAAGACAGCAAGCAAATAACCATCATTTTATCCATTTCCCATACTTATTTCGGGTCGGTGCAATGAGTTTTCAGC